ATGGAGCCAGATTATTTAGAGTCACCCCTTACTTCAAGGATTCTAAACTTTACCTCAACTGGTTGGAAAAAGTAGAAAAAGTGAAAGCCCAGGATTGGAAAGAAACTGACATTTACGACCTTATAATAATGTCGAAGGTCGGTCCTACTTACTGTCCCCTTATGCTGGCCTCTTCTTTGTTTTTCTGGGACAACACCCATAACACTCACTACAAGAAAAAAGGAGATTTACGACACTTGAGTTGCGACAGTTATCACAAAACCGTCCTTATTCCTGGATTGTGACGGTTGTCACGACAGTTAGGGTCAACTGTCGTAGATTTTTTGCGACAGTTATCAAAAAACCGTCCTTATTCCTGGACTACGACAGTTCTCACGACAGTTTGAGCCAACCGTCACAAATTTTTTAGGCATGTTGTATAAAATAATGCGACAGTTACCAAATAACCGCCCTCTTTCCACACTCGCGACAGTTAAGGCGAACTGTCGCAATTACTTTAACCAATCCTAATCACTATTTTTTTTATTCCTTTAATTTTTCATTTTTATTTTCTAACCTTTTCAATTTTATCAATTAATTTAATAAATAATTATTATAATTTTCATGACAATGTAGCTTAATATTTTTGTCCAAAATAATAGTAAAATATTTTCTATTTTATTATATAAATAGTTAACTTTTATTAAAATTAATTTTAGTAACAATGTTAATATATATATATATATATATATATATATATATATATATATATATATATATATATATATATATATATATATATATATATATATATATATATATATATATATATATATATATATATATATATATATATATATATATATATATATATATATATATATATATATATATATATATATATATATATATATATATATATATATATATATATATATATATATATTAACACTTCAAACTTATCTTTTTTGACAAATACTAATAACCCCGTTTTGTTAAAATGGGGAAATAAACCTTTGATAGTCTTCTTTTTATCTCCAGGTGCAGTTGCTATTTGTTCGGCTACTTAGTACCCATTTCATGTCATAATCGTCGTCAATTTCAATTTGGAAGTGGGAGAGTGACTTGTGATTATGTGAAACCACAATCGACATCCAACTATTGAGAAAGGTCGACAATGTCGGTAAGCCTCTCGTACTCAATTTCAAATAATTAGGGTTCCTCTTTCGATTTCAAATCTTAAATTTGCAATTTTTTCTCCACTTTGCAGGGAGAAATCGAAAAACTCGAGCCTTTGTTTGATTACAGTGGCCTTCAGCCCAACATCGTTTGTCTCGATGGTTAGCTTCTATTCATATATATATATATATATATATATATATATATATATATATATATATATATATATATATATATATATATATATATATATATATATATATATATATATATATATATATATATATATATATATATATATATATATATATATATATATATATATATATATATATATATATATATATATATATATATATATATATATATATATATCCTTGGTTAAAAAATATAATCATTCAAATTGAAACCCCAAATTTTAAATATTTTTGTTTTTATCTCAATAATTTTGATGAATTCTTATAGACTACGAGAATGTTGTTTGTGTTGTTAAGAAGAGTAAAAAAATTCTCAGCATGTAGTGAGAATTGGAAGAAGATGACGGTGAAGATTCTCAGCAGAACACTATAGCGGCCACTATAGGATAAATAGTGGGTAGCGGAGCAGAGCGGTTCCTGCCCCAGAGTGGTTCATGTCTAGCTATTATTATCCTTTACGTCAATTGTTCAGTGCTGGATCAATGTTTGGTCCAAATTAGATGGGGAATTTAAAAGTGATCATTGGTAATGTTTGGATCTCTACATAAATTATACAAATTATTAGCTTAATTACTTTTATAGTAATAACTTGAGTTGCTACTGAGACTTTTCTTAGTTAATAATATTTGCATTACTCTTATATTATGAAGAATACCCGATGAAGCAGAAAACATACCTATAACTCTTGACTTGGAGAATGTAAGACACAAGAGGGAGAATAATATCTTACAATAGATTTGAACAAATCCCCCTTCTCCTCGGTGCTTATCTGTAGGACTCACTAAACCTAACCCTTCAAAGGGTTCTAGATCCCAACTAATGGTATGTTCAAACTCTACGATTAAGCTATTATTATTGATCGATGATGAATTACTTATAAGACAATGCTAGCATTAAATTAGATAATCAAACTATTCTTATTACTATCATGCTGCAAACTTGAAGAGGGCTTTTGACAACATATACTTTTGAAATCGAAGTGTCTGTACTGTGTTATATAAGAGTTGAAAGTGTCTGATGACGAAGCTTATCATGCAGGAGATCTTCCAAAAGTATATGTTGGTTAAGAAATGTCGGTTACAAGTGAGGGTGTTCCTCGGGTTCTTACATGCTTAAGCAATGTCGAATTCTCTATTGTGCTTGTTGTTTGATTTGGAGTCCTTGGCTTGTTTGATCGTGTCTGCCCATATTTTTTTCTGGCCTTTCATTCACTATTGATGTAAATTATAACAGAGCTCTGTTTGCAGTCTTCTCTGAACGGATCTGCTTCAAATATTCCAGACGGTGTTGGGCGTTCTTTTACCACATCATTCTCTAGTCAGTCTGGTGCAGGCTCGTCAATTTATCAGCATACTGGTGGGAAGATTGTGCTGGAATCAATCCTTTTTATTGTCTCCTTTATTTATTTTCACAATCACTACCTTTTTGCTGCAGGTGGTATTCAGGGGTTGCACAACATGCACGAGAGCTTTAATATTCCTAACATGCCCAGTACACTCGCATCAAGAAACTCAACGATAAACAGCATGCCATCTGGAGCACCGTCTGTTTATACATGATAATCCTAACAGCCCCATTAATTAATAATTTCCCTAACTCCTTACCTCATATCCTAACAAAACTCCCCTTTTAACCTGTATAATAACAATAAACCCCTTCTCATATCTCTATTTCTTCTGATTTATTATTCTGACATGAATACTAGTCTATGATTATTCCTCGCAACCTCAATCTCTGCTTGATGTTATCAAGATAAATTTTAAGGGATTGTTGTCCATTATGGCCAGATTTTCTTTCTCTGGGTGTATGTTCTTCATATTTTAGAAAATGTCATTTCACATTGTTGTTAAGATTAGGCTGTTAGTTTTAAACCAGGGTTTGTAAATCGTAGTTAGTTCTTATTATTTAGAGATTTCTTCTTATTTTAGATTATCCAATTCTAGCTTAGAATATGATATCTTATTGGGTTGTTTGGCTATGTTGGGTCCATATCAAACTGATACCTCTTTAATGTACCAATAATGGATAGATAAATATTGGTTTCTTCCAAGAGTGCCTGCATCCCATTTTGAGAAGTCCAACACTACTCATGCTTACTGTTCCAAACCTTGTTGTCTATACAGGTGGAGGGAGAAACAGTGTTGAAATTTGCTCTCTGTTATGGTTTCCGGAATTTGCAAAACATTGTACGAAAACTTAAAACAGGGAAATATGATTATCATTTCCTGGAAATCATGGCATGCCCTTCAGGTACCATGTTTCTCAATTATCTGAAGTTGCATTAATTTGTTGTTTTTATATTGATTCTCAATATTAATTTTTTTCCAGAGTCTCATAAATTAAGTAGGTATTAACTGAAAACAATGGTCATTGATGCAGGTTGCTTAAATGGGGGTGGTCAAATCAAACCAATTTCAGTGCAATCCGCTAAAGGACTGAGTCAGTTATTAGAATCTGTTTACATGGAAAATGCAAGTATTATCTTAGATTTTCTAAATTTTCAAGTATTTCCCTTATTTAAAAGTATGACTTGCATAAAGGTGCGTGAGTGTTTGTTTGTATGTGTATTAATGAGAACATCACAAGTCTAAACATACCTCAGTACACCCTGGAGAAAATGTGCCTTATTTGGTTTGAGAAAATGATTCCAGATTTCATTTTTATTGGCAAAGCAGTCGCTTAGTTTCTGTTTTCAAACATTTATATTTAGCTTTCAATATTTCTTGTACAATTCTTTAAAAACAGGAAAGGGAATGAAAGCAAGGGCAATTTTGCAATTGAAAATGAAAATAGAAAATAAAAACAAAAAATGTTTTTTTAAACTAAACATGCTCATGTTTTCATTTTTAGATTTCACACTTATTTTTAATCACAAAGTTGTCATGTTGCATTCACTGTTTCCTATTGTGAAAGAGTAAAAATGACTTTTTCTTATTTTCTTACACATTTGAGAACATAAAATATTTTCTATAACCATAGATCCTTAGATTCTTGTAGGACATAGGATACATACTCTACAAAATTTGCTTATGTCCATGTACTACAATTAGTGTTAGGATATAGGATAAGAAGAAGTTTGTTTGGATATTTTATATGGAATTAGCGAGGGGAGATTTTAGTAATTGGGGTAGTTAGAATTATCATGTTTAAATAGGGAGGTTATGGAGTTAAAGGCAGAGAGCATAATTGAATATTGTAAACTTTTGTGAATAGAGTAGTGACTGATTAGAGGAGAGTTTTCTCTCCAATCATTAGCAAATCAACCTGAAAGTGGTGCTAATAACCAAGAGCATACTTCTACCAAATCTAAGAAAAGCCAGCGAAGGGGTAAGGATACATCTTCACAAACATCAGATTCAAAGCAAGGTTCTAGGAAAGAATCACTTAAAATGAAAGAGGATAATCTCAGTAGTCCCTCAGAAGAATGGATCATGGAGAAGATTACAGCCTTGATTCCTGATTTTGAAGAACAAGGTCTGCTAATTATGACTTTGGATATACTCTTTCTGCATATGCATTTTATTGAATTTCTTAAATTATGTGCTACAAATTGATAGGTATTGATGATCCTGAAACGATTCTTAGGCCTTTGATGATCCTGAAACGATTCATAGGAAGGCATTGTTTAAAAACAATGCAGAAAGAATGAAACAGTTGCTTGATAATTTACAGAAAAAACTTGATGAGGTTTAACTGCTCTGTAGTATCTTTTTGTACTTTCTTCATCCACTGTGTCCATGTTTGTAACTTTTCTTATCTTTCCTTAGAGGATATTTATCTGAACATGTCCTTGTGTGATTTGTTTTTTGGCAGTCTTTCTTAAACATGCGTTTGTATGAAAAAGCCTTAGAATTGTTTGAAGATGATCAATCAACTTCTGTAAGTCAAGTTAATTAAAATTTTGAAGATGTTATTTTCACTGTTGAAACAAGAGTAAGTTAATGTATCTTTGATGCCCAGGTTGTTTTGCATAGGCATTTACTAAGGACAATAGCAGCTCCTATGGTTGACATGCTTCTTTATGACTTGGTATTATATACAGCAATTATTCTGTTGATATTTCTTGAGGTTTAATAATATCTAAAAACACTATGGATTCATCCTTTTGCAGGATGAGCACAACAAATTAAAGAACGGAGTAGAAGTGCAGGAATCTCCAAATTCTGAGTTAAAATCTGCTATTCTTAACAGATTTATCCTATGTGTGTTTATTACAAACTGAGTTAATGTATTTTGTTTATATTATGATTGATAACTTTTTGTTTCATTGATAAAAATATTGTGTTTTGTTAAAGATGTAGAAAGGAGAACAATATTAAGGAGAAATAAATAATCATGAGAAGAATGGAGAACCAAAAACACACAACAAGCAAGCGGTGATGGACACTTCTCTACACATTCTATAACCACGTGTCTTTCTTTTCCCAGCACATACGGTTATAAAATAATATCCTTTTGTTTGACATCAACTTCTAACTTAGCCAAAATAAAGTTATCCATCAAACAAATACCATGATTAATGCTCATGCTAACTTGCATAAGAGAAAATCTTCCTTGATTGCTGATGGGAATCATGCTGCTGCTTTTAAGGTATGTATGTATGCAATTTTTATGGTATGCTTCAACAGAGCAAAATTTGAAGAAGAATTCTAACTCAATTTCTTGTATATTATTACAAGACATTAAGGAAGGGAACCTATATGGACTCTCTTGAAAGAAAGGATGATACTGTTGTTGATGATAACAATAACAATGAAGAAAAAGATGGAGGAGAAGTTGTTGATGATGAAAAGAAAAAGCCTTCTACTCGATGTTTCAGCCATGGTTTTCATTTAATGGAAGGAGAAATGAACCATGGAATGGAAGACTATGTTTTTGCTCAACACAGGAAACTCAATGGTTACGATTTAGGATTGTACGCAATATTCGATGGACATGCAGGTCGCGACGTTGCAAAATATTTGCAAAACCATCTATTTGAAATTATACTGAATGAGGTTAGTATGTTTCATTCTACACATTATTATCATTATATTATTCAAACACTGTAATTTGATTTCTTAATCCTGCATGGATAGCCTGATTTCTAGGAAAATCCAGTGCATGCTGTTAAGAAAGCATGTAAAGCTACCGACGAGGAGATATTAGAAAACATAGCTGATTGGAGAGGAGGATCAACCGCTGTGGCAACAATACTAATTAATGGAGTAAAGCTACTGGTAATCAACGTTGGCGATTCACGCGCAATATTGTGTAAAAACGGTATTGCGAAACAGCTTACGGTGGATCATGAACCGGAGAAGGAAAAAGATCTGGTTGAGAGAAGAGGAGGTTTTGTCTCTAAGAGACCTGGTATTGTGATTCACACCTATTTTTTGTTATAGAGTTTTCTAATAACATAGATTACTAGTTTTCATTCGGTTTTGTTAGGGAGTGTTGCAAGAGTGGATGGAGAGTTAGCAATGACAAGAGCATTTGGAGATGGAAAACTGAAAGAGCACATCACTGCAGAACCAGATGTGATGATTAAGAAGATTGATGATGAGACTGAATTCATCATTTTGGCAAGTGATGGTTTGTGGAAGGTATAGAAGAAAAGTAATGACAATAATTTAAGGAAGATGAAAAATTTGGAGTGAAATCTTTAATTAGTTTGCTACCTTATTATAGGTGATGACAAATCAAGAGGCTTGTAATAGTATATAGAATCTTAGATATTTGTAAACCATTTTCTTTTGTGGAACACATAAAATGACTTCAAATATTACATTTATTGTTATTTTGTTTTGTAGTCCAAGAGTTTTCCAGGAGCTCTTGCAAATAAGACTCTTGCTATTGTAGAAGCATTGGAAGGAAAGGTTAGCATTTTTATTTCTGAAACATTATGGTTAAGGCTTATTGTATAGGTTCACTCAATCATTTATCAGTTCACAATTGCAGCTGGTTGGCTGGAAATATATCTTGTTATAGTTTGAAACTTATTTTTTCTGTTTGATTTTTGATGCTGCAACTAATATTTGAATATTCAATACAATAGAGGGTGGAAACATTCATGTCTTCATTCAGAGCTGTGACATAAGAGAGGTATTAACGTGTCATTTTTGTTAGTCGTACTTATCGCATTGCTTTTACCAAAGCTTCTGTCTTGACGTGCAACCTTTTGTGATTAATTTTTCCAGTGGGCTGCCTTTGAAAAAGCTTGACAAGAAACTAGAAAGAACACTTCTACATTCATATCTTAAGGTATGTCCTGAAACTGCAAAACAATAAGGAGTTATGATGGTTAATCTTCATTCATTTAATTTTTGAAATTTCAGGCTGTCTAGGACTACTATCGCCACCTTATTGTGAGAAGGGTTGTCGGATTTTCGCCTACAGCTGATCTATTAGTAAAGGCTTCTGAGGTCGCAACAGCTTCACAAGATCTTGTAAAATTTGATGACAATTCTGTATTCATTTTTGGCACAATGATACTTATTCATTTTTGGCACAATGATACTTATTTTATAAGATTATGATTTGATATGTTTTCGGATTTTTGTATTACATGACATGATTATGAAACTTTCATTTTACATTATTATGAAACTCACGTTTTTTTGATATTATAATGTTTATTTGATATTAAGTTTTGGAATTAATTTTACTACGCTAAAAAGCGATAGAAAAAAATTAAAAAAAAACTATAAATAAAAATATTATTGTATAAATAATTTAAAGAAAAAATAATATAACTATTTTAGTAGATAATAATTTAAGTAAAAGAATATATTATAAAATAATATAATACAATATATAAAAATTAATAATGAACCATCAAGATACATTCACGACAGTTTTAAAACGTCACAATCAACAATGGTAACAAGACTCAAAAGGATATTCACGACAATATTTAACTGTTGTCATTTCTAATTTATGTCAGTTCCAACCAGTCGTGAAATAGTGTTCCCGACAGTTTTAAACCGTCACAATCAACAATGAAAATAAAGATCAAAAGGTTAGTAACGACGGTCTTTAACCGTCGCTATCTTCAGTTTAGGTCAGTTCAAGCCCGTCGTGAAATATAACGACGGTTGTGTGTGACGGTTTTTTCAACCGTCGCTAAACAGCCTGGGGACACACGTTTCTACGACGGTACTACAATCGTCGTAGAATGTAATTGGTGATGGTTTTAACCGTCGTAACCTGTCAAAATAACCGTCGCAATCCATCGTTTTTCTTGTAGTGACTTTCCACCTTCCTTGTGGGATGATGACACCCACATTGTTTGATGTAGCTGCCATTGTGAGTCTAAAACCTCATGGACTTATTTATGACCCTGAAGTTGATAGCCTAGACACTATAGGATTCGCCAGCACAAAACATACTTACACGGCCTTCGTCCAACACTATCATAACAAAACCACCACTTCTGTCGAAAATGAGGAACATATTGAAGGTGAGAAAAACACTTAGAAGGGGGGTTGAATAAGGGTTTTGAAATAATTATGGCAATAAAAACAACACAGTATTTTTATCCTGATTCGTTGAACTCAACTAATCCAGTCCACCCTACCAAGGTAATTTGCCTTTCTCAACAAGGACTTAATCCACTATATTCAAACAGATTACAGTGTCAACCACTAAGAACAATTGTCTTAGTCTTCTCAAGAAATCCTGACCACAACTTGGTCTTCTTAAGGAACCTTTTACAAATAAATGTAAACTAACAAGTGTTTAAGATGCTTCTAAAAAGCTATATCACAACTGTGATTTTTACACTTAGCTTAAGAACGAATAAAAACTATTCAGCTTATGAATAAAATTATATGAGAGCTTGAGAGTAGTTTTCAATTTGATTTCTCAAATACGTGAATGCGTCAAGATAATTCGTCTAGATAAAACGTCAACTTTGAAATGTTGTTGAAGACATCCTTTTATAGAGCAGAAAGTCCAATGCTTGAAGACTGTGCGTAGCAGAGTAGTTGTAGCCTTTTTGTCTTCTATTGACTCTAGCTTTCCCAGAAGAGGAATGTTCAGACAAATCCCTTTTGTTTGATTTCCCGTGCCATACATGAATAAGGAAAGAGTCGTTTGGAATACGCCAATGGATATATCTTTGAATAATATTTTCTTCAACAAGCTTCTGTCTCAAAGTTATCAGCATCAGAGTCTTGATATTATCAGAGTTTTGCAGCTAAAGTGCTTCAGCGTGAATATCAATCAGAGCAGAGTTTGAATAACAGAGCCTCTGTACTTGCAGCGTGAAGTACCTTCAGAGTCTTCTTGAAACAATGCTTGAAACTCTTCATACAAATTCTTCAACTACGCTTCAGAGTCTTCTGCAGCTTCTGCTTCAGAGTCTCTTCTGGCAGCGCTCAGAGTCTTCTGATGCTTCAGAGTTTTGCGTAGAGTAATGTTCAGATGCATTTTTGCTTCCATAAGAGTATTTAATTTAGTATCTGAAACAAAAAAACTTGAACAAAATTAGAGTATATATTTTCTTAATACAAAATTTCATTAGAGTTATCATCAAAACATAGAGATATGTTAAACACCAATCTGTGTTCTAACAATCTCCCCCTTTTTGACGATGACAAAAACATAGGAAATTTTGTTCAATAAAAGGATAAATATATAACTCCCCCTGAGATAAAGAATCTCCCCCTGAAATGAATACTCTAATAGAAGAAAATACTTCCCTTTATGCATGAGTATACTTTTCAGATTAAGAGTCTGGTTAGAATCCTGGTTAGAATGTACTTTCCAGAATCAGATCTTGATTTAGTTTTCAGAATCAGAACCTGGTTTGAATTAAGTTCTGGTTTGGGGATTCTCAGGGTAACTTCAGTGAATTTTGTCAGATGATACGTTATAATTCTGAAAGACTAAAATTCAATGTTAGTTAATAATTTATTATGTCTGAATTCCATTTTAGTAACTGTTTATTTTTGAATAAACATAATTTCTTTTTCTCCCCCTTTTTGTCATAATCAAAAAGAAAAACTGTAAAGACAAATAAAGGATAACAGAAGAAAATAATAGAAAAACAGATAATGAAACAATCAACTTCATTGATAAACAGATATTCAGAGAAACATTTAGATAAACAACAAAATCATCAACAACAAAAACAACAAACAGGTGCACAAACATAACAGAAAAAGCAACTAAGGTTGGCGAGAGGCTATCAACTTCAGAGGTCTGTAATCTGAGAAGTAGATTCCTCTTGTCTAGTCATCCAAGTGTTAATCTCATATGTGGTTTGTTCTTGCTTGACCATCCATGTTCTGATCTCTTTGTTGATGGCTTCTAGTAGAGCAAACTTTTCTTCTAAATCTGGATTCTCTTTCTTGATTTTAGAAGAAGCAGGAGCAGATGCAGATGCAGGAGCTGGAGCATTATCAATGACCATAGCAGATGCAAATGCATTATCTTGAATCACAGAAGTAGATGCTTGTTCCACAATCATCAGAGTTGACTGATTAAGCACAAGAGTTTCTTCAGCAACAACCGCTTATGAAGGAGTACCTTCAGACATAGGTTCTTCAGCAGGTGCATTGTCCAGAGGAAGAACTGGAGATCTACTCATGTTCAGAAGAGTCTGTCTGATAACTTCAGCAAATTTCACCTTTGCATCATCAGAGCAAATGGTGCGAAGATTTGAAGCTACAGAGTTGAACCTTGAGATGAATCTGTTCCAAGTGGCTTCAGAAGCATCTGGATTCACACTAGACAAACATTCCTTCTTTACAGAAGATATCCACATGTTCATTTCCTTCTTGAAGCCATCAAATAGCGTACTAACATCCATTCTAGGTTTTGGTTTCATAAAGTTTTCTAGAGATGGTGTTTTGGGCTGTTCTGGTGGGGGTGGTATTATAAAGGTTGGGATAATGAACATAGGACGAGAGAAAGATGGAAATGATGTTTGGCCAGATGATTCAGAGATAACTTGACGTTTTAGATAAAAGTGTTTAAGTTTGAGTCCAGAGGGAAGGTCATCAGATGAAAAAGATTTTAATGAAGCAAAAGAAACAAAATCAGATGATCTTGGTTCATAGCCACGGAGTGAGGGGGTGAGTTTACTTCTGGGGGTACATCAGAT